GCAACAGCAAAAATACTACCTAAACATTCCAGTGCTCTGAAATCCAACGTTTTTTATTTTTCTTAGCACTGACTCTATTTTACACCATTATAATTCCGACTCTGCGCGGATCGCCCAACTCTCAAACGACTACTCATCAATAACTTAATATCGAGTGTGTTTGGCTAAAAAAATAATAGCAGTGGGCAAGCCCAAGAAGTTAAGTCGATCGTTTTATTCTAAGCGTATCTACATGATGGTCCTCGATAATTTTTTTCGCAATCGACTTATTAACAGTCACGAATGGAACATCTCTACCTTCAGTCGTGAGTCGTAGGGCCGTTGATTGAATCCGATGCTAAATCTAAACCGTTACCGAATGCGAATGCAATTTGTTAGGAATATGTTTGACTGAATTTACTGTGAATAGATGTGTTATGTGTAAATGAGACGAAAAGGAAGGGAAAGGATGTCACTACACATGGCATGTATACCGCATACTGGTCTGGTGTAGACGAGATCGAGCGGGCATGCCAGGGAGTAGGTATCATCCTTTCAGAAAGAATGGGCCAATGTGTGAAAGAGTATGAATGTGTAAGCCCAAGACTGCTGTGGATACGAATGAAAGTGGGCTTAAAGAAGTTGTTTGTGTTAGGGGTCTACGCCCCAGACATGTCTAAGCCCACTTATATCCGAGAGCAGTTTTGGGAAATGGTAAGGATGGTGTTAATGGAGTGTAAGGGAAATGAAAATATTATTATGCTAGGAGATTTTAATGGAAGGGTTGGGGTGAGGAGGCTTGGTTATGAAAGGATATTGGGAACGTTTGGTGATGAAAGTATAAATGAGAATGGTGAAAGTCTCCTCACCGTATGTATGGAAAAGAATCTTTTTGTGACGAACACTTGCTTTCGCCACAAGAGGATTCACATGTATACTTGGGAAAGAGGTGACGATAGAAGCATGATAGATTTAATAATTGTGGATGAAAGATTGAGGGGCGCAGTTGTAGATACAAGGGTTTACCGGGGTTCTAACGTAGGAACGGATCATTATTTGGTTCTATGCCGAATTAATGGTCTATTCAGGCGTTGGCGCCATCGGTCATCTGTGTCTACCACTGCGTTACAGCGTATTAGAACAGAAAGGTTACAAGATGAAGGTGAGAAAAAGAAGTTCAAATGTAGACTGAAAGAAAATATAAGTGGTTTGGATGAATTATGTATGAAGGAGTTAGACTTGGAGAATGTATGGCAAAATGTAAAGAAAGGTTTAGTGGATGCAGCTACCGAAGTATGTGGTGTTAGTAAGAGAAAGAATGAAAGGAAAAATAATACGTTATGGTGGGATGATGAGGTACGTATGGAAGTTGAAGCAAAGAAGAGAGCATGGCTAGATTTACTAGCAACAAAGGCTGGTAATTCTAGCGGTACGAATGGTGATATTGAAAGAAAAAAGGCAGTCTTTAGACATCTTAATAAGAGAGTAAAAGAAGTAGTTGAAAGAAAAAAGCAAGAAAGAACGGATAAGAATGATAGAAGAATATCGGATAATTTCCAGGCAAATATTAAAATGTTCTGGAAACTTGTAAGAACTGCCAGGGGACATTCAAAACAGCCTATGATGAATGCTATAAGAGACGAGAATGGCTATATTCTGAATGATGAAGTTTTGAGTTTAAAGAGATGGAAGGAATATTTTGAAAGCGTGTTTATGAGTGAGGAGACAACGTGTGTACTAAGTGAAGTAGAAATTCCGAAGGAAGAGGAAAGAGGTAGCGAGATTAGTGTAGGTGAAATAATGAAAGCAATGAAAAGCATGAAAGCAGGTAAGGCTGCCGGATATGATAGAGTTTCACTCGAAATGCTAAGGGCTGGAGAGGAAGTGGTGGCAGGCCTGCTGCACACCTTGTTTAATTTATGCTGGGAACTGAAGCGGGTACCGGTAGACTGGTGCAAAGCCGTGATAGTCCCAGTATATAAGGGAAAAGGGTCGCAGCAGGACTGTAAAAACTATCGTGGCATCAGCCTTCTTAGCATTGTGGGAAAACTGTATGCTAAGGTACTGATTGAAAGGGTCATGAAAGAAACTGATGGAAAAATTTGGGATGTGCAAGCAGGATTTAGAAAGGGAATGGGATGTACAGATCAAGTCTTTTCCATGCGCATGATCGCGGAGAAGTTTTTGGCCAAAAACCAAAAGGTTTTTTGTGCGTTCATGGACTTGGAAAAGGCCTATGACAGAGTGAATAGGGATGTGCTATGGCAAACACTGAACTCATTTGGGTTGAGCGCTGGCTTGATACGGGCATTGGAGTCCCTTTATAGGGACTCTAGTGCTTGTGTTAGGATCAACGGGGTCTACTCGGACTGGTTTGACATCCATAAAGGTGTCAGACAGGGCTGTGTAGCTTCCCCGTGGCTGTTCAACCTATTTATGGACAGTTGTTTGCAAAATTTGAAAGTTGAAGAATGCGGATTAAGAATGGGTGAGTTAACCGTCAAATGCCTTTTGTACGCCGATGATCAAGTTATACTTGCGTCGTCGGCGGCCGAGTTGCAAATGATGGTTACATTAATGAACAGATCATTAAAAGAAAGGGGTATGAAAGTGAACGCAAGTAAGACGAAGGTTATGGTTTTTGAAAGAGAAGAAAGTAAAACGATTTGTGAAATAAGAATAGAAGGGGAGTTGATCGAGCAAGTAGACGAGTTTGTATATTTGGGCTGCGTATTTAGCAGGGATGGGAGATATGATAAGGATATAGAACGACGAGTGAATGCGGGAAATAGAGTAAATGGGGCCCTGCACTCTATTGTGAAGAGTCAAAATGTGTCGAAAAAGGCACGTATGGCAATTCACAATGCTGTGTTGGTCCCTACTTTAACATATGGTAGTGAAAGTTGGGTGTGGCAGAAGAAGCACGAGAGTAGAATGAACGCAGTAGAAATGCGGTCGTTAAGGAGTATGTTAGGGCTGAATCTTAATGACAGGGTAAGAAATTGTGTAATAAGAGAAGAGTGTGGTTTGCAAGATGATGTTGTGACCAGGATTAAGAAAGGAATGCTTCGGTGGTTTGGTCATGTGGAAAGAATGAATGAGGAAAGAGTGACAAAGAAAATTTATGTTGCAGAAGTGAATGGCAGAGTCGGAAAGGGACGTCCTAGGCGAAAATTTATCGACCAAATTGGCGATTTATTGAAAACGGGCCAAATTAGGAGTACCCTTAACCGACGAGCATGTATGCGGAGGTGTATGGATGTGAAGGAGGCGAGAGAGGTGTGTCAGGATCGTGCCAAATGGAAGTCTGTAGTCTCTGCCTACCCCTCTGGGTGACAGGCGTGAGTGTTTATGTATGATGAATTTACTGTCGAATTTAGAACAGAATATACCAAAAGCTAAGAGTCTTAGGTACAACAATACTTCTGAAAATTTTCCAACAAAATTCACCATCTGTGTAATGAAATGCCTACAATACGCAACATGCGAGTCGACCTGCAGCTAGGGTTGCCAACCGTACTATAATATATAGTATTGTACTATATTTCGGGTCTGCGTACTATATACTGTTTAAGAAATATATAATATGCAAAAATACTATACTTACAACACCGATATCTTACAAACAAATCCTTAATTTTAAAAATTTTTGAACGCGTCTTTACATTAACTTTTGATCGTTGCGATAGGGTGTATCCTACAAGAGAAGTGCAAGTATTGTATTACTATATACTCTATGGCAAGTATTTTGAACAAAAGTAAAATATTGTAGGGAGTTTATTGACAAAACTTTAGGCAAAAATGGCAGCATATTTAAAAAAAAAATACAGAAAATAACTTAATTTATTTAAAGTAATTTAATTCTTGCTCTCTATTCTCGCCACTTCGGCATTCACAGAAAACACATTTTCGGTTATGAATTCAAAATGGCAAGAAGAAAGAAGTAGTAACTCATTAATTAAAGTTGGTAAGAATTACCTCACCCATATCCATAACACTAGGAGTGTTGTGTAGTGGTGTTGGGATTAGTGGTGACGAGATAAGTGCACGCAATTGAAGGAGGGAGGGAGGTGCTCTTCAAACTGGGTAAGATACATCATTTTATTTTATTGAGCGGATATGGGCGAGGTATTTCTTACCAACTTTAATATATTTAATTTTCACAAAGTAACGCCTGACTCTATTATCTCATTAATAAAAAAACAAGCTTTTGCTTTACTTTAATTTAAAAATTGAATGTGATAAAGCATATGAAACTTTTATTTTAGGGTGAAATTTGTTAAAAAAGGCAAGAAGTGCAAAAAATATACTAGTTTTATTAAAAATAAATAAGTAGAAATATATCTTTGTCTATTTTTTGCTTTTTCCTTACAATGTTATATTTTTGTAGCTTATTTTGAAACTTTACTATATTTCGCCGTAGAAATATTGGCAACCCTACATGCAGCATATACAAATACTCTGTGACTTACTGGGATTCTTTCGATTGTTAAAATATCTCCTAGTTATGACATAGTGCAGTAATATAAATAACGTATAAATTTAGTTTCACAGTATAACATTGTTACCGATTGTACTATTGTTAATGTGTCTTATTCATACAAAAGAGGATACTACTTAATGTTTATAGATAGTCCAAATCAGTAACTATTAATTAAACAATAACCCTGTAGTCAGTAGTATCCCATATTGAATGTGATTTATTGGCAACAACTACACGCGCTCCTCTGTGTGCGATTCAATTCACATCGTTTTTGTCGTGTGTAGTAAAATAGTAGGCGTTAGATATAAAATGGATGAAAATCAGTTATTATCACGCATTCTGACGCATATTAAATCTAAAAGATAAAAGGACAGAGATGTTTTAAATTAATTTTTCTTCACCATTCGCTTTGTTACTTATTTAGAACCTCTGCAAAATAGGGCGTATTTTGTGAAATAACCCCGTATAATGTATTAGCAATACAACAAAGGCACTGGTTGCATTATACATTACTTAAAACTAATTATTTTGTCTAAATTTATACACGTGCTGTAATACGCGAATACGTTGTACTAACAATATACATTAATATTTTTAACGTTCCGTATACAAAATCACGCATGTATCTATTCTGTAGTATTAGCCGTAAGACCAGCAGTATTGTGAACATTATCGCCCCCTTGTGAAGGAAGTACATTCTGAAAAAAAAATTAAATATTACATTAATAACAGATTAAAAAGGTCCGATTCTACATCTATACATATAATATTTCTGTAGAAAAGACGTGTTTGTAATTCTAATAATATCTGGAAAAAACAAGTCCAGGGGACAAAATAAAGAGCAGTGAAGCCAAATTAGTAGTTTTTAGAATTTTTGTCTGTCCGTCTGTTTGTCGGTGTATTTACGATTCACCCCAAAACTACTAAACAGATTTCCATGAAATTGTGTGTGTGGATTTGATAGTTAGGGACCCGCGGACTTCAAAAAAGGAGGGTTAAGTATTTTCCTACCTTTATATGCTAATTTCTATTTTTGCGGGTTGGCAACCGCAGCTTTTTATTACTTTGCGCTGTTATCAAGAAGATGCTGCCCATCTCCTGTTTCAGTTTCCCTCTGTCGCCTCTTACGACACCCACGGGACGAAATGGGGGAGTGGTTTCTTTTTTCGCCACCTCTACGTGGCTGGTATTCTACTGTCGTTTATCAATTGGGCTCCTCCACAGATTGCCAAATAAGTTGGATATTTGCCGTATTTGCCAAATAACTTGGATATTTGCCGTATTTGCCAAATAAGTTGGATATTCGCCGTAGTTGCCAAATAAGTTGGATATTTGCCGCAGTTGCCACGCTTGGCATGCTAGTTGCCAACTGTATATTTTTATTATTTAGAGCTGTGATCAGGAATACGCTGCTGCCCATCTTTTGTAGATTTCTACTCCCATTCATAAATTTAGTTGTTCTTACACGTTCACCGTGAATAGAATTACATTTATGAAAGTTTGAAGTCTACTCGAACGTAAATAAATACTGGCCAGTGGCGTAGCTATACAAACAAGGGCCCCGGGGCAAAAATTAAATTGGGGCCCTATTTGAACTAACTCAAAACCTACCTTAAATATGCAAAACTACTATGTAGTATGTGTAAGGCGGCAGATAATATACATTTATAATAATATATATACATACAGATATATATATATATATATATATTATATATATATATATATTACGAAAGAGGATATCCTGAATAACTGAGCCATCTATCAAAGCACAGCATAAACCGCATTACGTAGTAATCCGAAAATTTGACAGTAGCTGCCTTTTATAACAAAGGCATCCACTAAAAAATATTTAGTAATATTCAATCTCTATGGGGATTAAATAGTGTTATAGTTTGTATTAGCCTTTTAATTTTACGGGGTGATTAACTTGAAACTTATAAAGGTACCTTGTATATTACATGGTAGAGCCACGCTTAAGCTATATTATGGTTGTAGCACGAATGAGTCGGCTCGACCGGGGTAAGACCACGCTTTCACATAGTACCAGCGTAAATCTCAAGCCGCAGAACGTAGAAGCATAAAAATATTACAACATAGTTTAATTTTATTACGTAGGTAATTAACCAAGATAAGATTTTGTAAAATTCAAACCCTCGGAGGGTGAAATAAGGTGTTAAAGTTTGTACGGCACTTTTTATTTTACGGGACGGAGACTGTTGACTACTTTTATTTTTATTATTATTCTTTTAGTTTTATTATTACAGTATTAAATTAAATTAATACGTAGTTTTCCATTTTTCAAAATAACGCCTTACCTACTTACTTCTTTTAAACTACGCAACCAACAACGGTTTTTAATAGCTTTTTTCAGATTATATATATTTCAGTTATTTAGAGATGTTTTATGGAAGGTTAGTATGTAAAATACATTCTAATTAAGTTTTAGTAGTGTAAAAGTTCAATATTTTGTAATTAAGTCGTCAAATCGACATCGATATTAGGGCGCTTAATTCGCTGTCTACGTTAAGACTTAAATAAAGTACTAAGGAATCGTAGTTCTTTAAAAGATCTAGACCTAAAGTCCATTCTAGTATAATAATATATCTATCTCCTAAGTTTGACTCACAATAACCACTTTTATCCTTGAAATATAAATAAAAAATATTTGCTTATTTGCGAAGATGTTTTCTCTAATTCAGTAATAATATTCATCTTAATAAATATGTGAGTTTGTGCATTTCATCTTAATTATAATTATCCATTGAATTATATCATTTAAATGAATACTTAAGAAGATATCACAGCTTCAAAATTACGTGTAACTTCCATTGTTTCAGCACATGAAACATTTCATGGTCAGCTACACTGACCTCTATACTTGTATATATAGAGGTCAGTGATCAGCTATGTGTAGCGCTTTCGGGTGTCACTTTCAGACAGAATCTGTTCGTATTGTGTAATGAAAAGTCTGTAAACATTGTATATAGACATAATGTAATAACTGGCAGTAATATAAAACTTTGACATTAACAGCTAAATTATCCAAAGTTGTAAAATCTTCAGGCCGTGGACAAATTTGATTTTATGTTTCCCATTACTACACGATAAGATATTTTATTATTTAGCGCATTTTCGTAATAATAATCAAGCGACAAACTAGATTGATCGAACAATATTTTTTTAAATATAAATGACACCACATGTAAATTAAACGCGTGTGAAGTCGGGGCAGGTTGCTAGTAATATTATAATCGTGAAAGTTTATTTGTTTTTATTATTTGTTTTATTTGTTTATGTGTACAAACACTACTGTATGGATTTGGATGAAATTGTGTGCCTTTGTTTCACTCACGACCAAGCGAATGAAGATGCGGGCGAAAGCTGGTAAAAATAAACAATGACAAAGTAGATTACAGTTAATATCTAATATTGGTACTTAGACAATAAAATGAACTAGGTTATTTTATTTTAATCATGTTTATGTTCTGGAGCTGCGAGAAATTGTCGTGATTTCAGTTCTAGTCGTTGTTCGAGGTTTGTTTGTCAAGAGCCAAAAAGTTAAAAATCGAATTATTTTTATTCAATTGTGTATAATTTTATCAAACGTCATTGTCATGGAGGCTGAGGGGCCCCTTGAGCTCGAGGGCCCCGGGGCACTGCCCCGCCTAGCCCCAAGGTAGCTACGTCACTGTTACTGGCATGTATTTTATGGTGCTAATCAATATTCAATGGGGCAAATATTAATAAAGACCACGATAATCAACATTATTTTGTCAAAACTATATCAACTTTAATTATGAATATTATGTAAATAACGCCTTTCTGATTCCAGGGCACTTTTCCCTTCATAAAGACACATCGGAAGACCTGCCCGATATAAAAAAAGATGTTGCTAGATGTATGATATTAAGGCAATTCTAATAAACTCACTTATGTGTTTCTGTAGCATATAATATTGTCAAATTTCCAATATAGACACAGATACCGAGGTGTCTCACAAGCGATCCAGTTTTACAAATTTTAGTACGAAATAGTATTATTAATGTCTCTAAATTCAAGGCCACGCGAGCTAAGCCGCGGGTAAAAAGCTAGTTTCAAATAAATATTTTATAGCTGCAAAATTGAAGACGTTATAGCCGCAAAATTGTTGCCTTAAGTAGATAATATTATATTGTTCGAAATGCCGACTTCGGTCACAATTTCTGAATTGTTGCAAGTGTGTATTAATGTAACAAAAAACAGACACACGGGATTAAAATATAATAGGATTTTTCCTTGCCTAGGCATTTGTCCGGTACGGTACCAAACTACTTATTTATACCGCCAGCCAGCCATCTTTAGCCTTTTTCGTTTAAAGTTGGTTGCAGATGTCCAATGTTCATGGCCCGTATTTACCGTTTACCATCAGATGGACTGTTAATTTGTTAGTCGTTTCAATTTAAAAAAAATTAAAATATCACTCCGCTGGACTCGATAGCCTATGAATTTGAAACGATTTAAAGTAAACATATTTACAAACAAAGTAACTATCATTTTATGTCAACAAAGTTAGCGAATGAGCCGCTGGTACTTTAACGATTTTTCTCTGTGTGATAAACTTAGAAATGAGGATATCCGCAGTAGAACCAGAGTGACTGACATAGCCCATAGTAAGCTGAAGTGGCAATGTGCCGGCCATGTAGCTCGAAGAACCGATAACCGTTGGGGAAAAAAGTTCTCGAGTGGCAGCCTCGTACTGGTAAGCGAAGTGTAGGGCGACCCCCCACTAGATGGAGTGACTGGAGAGGATGGATGCAGGTGGCTCAGGGCCGCGCTTTGTGGCATATCTTGGGGGAGGCCTATGTTCAGCTGTGGACTTGTGAAGGGCTGTAATGATGATGGTGGTGATGATGACTTCAACGATTTGTCCGATTTTTACATTAAAGAAACGTTTCGTTGCTTGTTATGAAAAGTTTTACAATTAAAAATGACTTAAAAAAAAAACTAGGGGGAATCCCCCTAGCGCCGCGCCGGTCAACACATAGTACCGGACAAATCACATCGAAACATGAAATAAAGTTCTTTTTACCTTTTTAGCACCCGCTTATAGAAAAACGTCAATCTCTTAATGGACAAACGCCCCGCGACGTGGGAGGCGTTAGTTTTGCCCGATACAGCTTATAGGTGACACTTAGTCATTTTGCGCGGGAATTCGTTGCATCGAGTAACATTTACAACGTCGTAAACCACTATTTAGCGTGAATAAATTGTGTATAGTGAGTGTTAAGTAGATACTAGTAATCTATTATTAGGATATTTAATGGACTTTCTGCGCTGCAGAACGGGTCGTTAGAGAACAAAATGTTATTTACTATTAATTAAAGAAATATCGTTTTAAAAAATGACACTTAGGTATATAACTAATATCATATTATCACGTATTTTAAATTTATGACATACTATTATATGGATGTTCGACACACCTGCGTATATGGCGTTTCGCATCGTCCAAATCTTGATCCTTTTCTTTGAATATATGTCTTCTGGTACCAATGATAAAGTTTTTGTAAAGATCCTGCCAACTGTAAAATTGATAATATATATGATAAATAAAAGTTTTTTTTTTAAATTGTGATAGGAAATAATTATGATTATTTTGCGGCTCTGCCACTGCGCGATTGACTGGCCATTGTAGTACCAGACACGTCGCGCTTCTGACATTATTCTTTTCTTTCGCTGGTCTAGGTTTTTTGCATGACACGCTTTTGAGATTATTCTTTTCTTTCGCTGGTCTAGGTTTTTTGCATGGCATTAAATTCAAGAGGGTTAGACTGCCATCTATCGGATCGGATCGTTCTATGGTCGCTTCTTATGACACCAAAGACAGGAAAATAGAACGACGTTCTCTTTCGCTGTCACAACACAGGGACGTATTATTTACATAATAATGAAATACAACAATAATGAAACATGGAGTCTATTTTATTAGTGTGAAAATTCATAGTTTCATGGTAACCAGAGTTCAATCCGCGCCGACACGAATTTAATTGTTCAACTTTAAATGCTGATTAATCGTGCTCGGTGGACGGAAGAAAACATCATAAAATCAAGAAAAATGTCGTAAGGAAATCTGAATGTCTGAAGAATAAAAAATATGTCGAGGACATGTGAAATTCGCCAGCACGACACGTAGTGGAGTGGCGCGTCGCACTAATTGGTTCATTTTCATAACCCTCACGAAAATATGACGCATATGCCCATCAGTTGAAAATAAATAGGCTTTAACTTCACTTTAACTTTACTTTAACTTTACTTTAATTTTACTTTAACTTTACTTTAACTTTACTTTAAATTTACTTTAACTTTAATTTTACTCTAAATTTACTATAAAACATACCGGCTCCCTGGCTTCGACTGGAATGCAAAGTATGATCTTTTCTTTAGACTCAATAGTCTGACAGGTGACTTACTCGATAGTTTTCGGGTCCAAGTTGTATATAGCTCTGTCTTCGGGCGACATGCGAGCGTTGAGTCGACGTACGTTGTCAGTACTGAAGTGCCATTCGTTAAGGGCGAAGAATCTCAGAACGCCGTTCATTGCCCGTAATTTCTGACTCGCTGTTATAAGGTTTACTCTGAGGAATAAAAAAATAATCACTAGGTATTAGTAACCTAGTACCCTAATAAACTACAAAGTAGTAGTAGTCTAGTACCCTAATGCTTTTAGCTAGTCGTACTCAAAGTGTGCTCCGCGGAGCCATGGGGTTCCGCAAAGTCTCAGCAAGGTCTTCGCCGAAATAATAGAAGCCCAAAACACGTTAACTTTTGTTACATAATGAGGCGACACGCAGAATATTAAGTCTAGAAAAGAAGAAGGAATGCCATCAGGAGTAAAAACTACAAATATAATTTGTAAGAGTGGGTAATATTTCGTCTTCGGAATAGTTGAAAGCTCCGAAAAAAACTTAGTGTTAAAAAAGTTCCGTCGCCAAAAAAGTTTTAGTACCGCTGCTTTAAGCAATTAATTCTTGTATAAATTATATTATAGGTAATTGGATTGTACTAAATATACAAATTACTAAAGACTGTACTCACTGTGTCTTAATTCTAAATAGGCGCAATATGTATTCTGTTGCGTGTAAAGGCATGGTCTGCAAAATGAATTCCAACGCCTTTTGCGCGTATCTGTAAAAAATAATAGTAGTTATAATTTACTTAAGTTTTATATCAATTTGAAGGGAAGATTGAAAAGTAAAACAAGATGATTGTTGATAATATTTACACTAACTAAAATTATAAAAGTATTTGTTATATTTTATGGTTTCAGTTTTAGTTTTAGTTCTTAATGGCAAACTTTAATTCTTGCACTCTATTTTTAATACTTTTAAATGAAATAAATAAATTATTAGTGCTGTGATAGCCCGTATTTTAGTTATACATAAAAATATGTACTGTTACTGTTTAAATAACGATAATGCACCTCAAATTGAATATCGGTCATGGCGGCCAGTCTCAACGGAGACTAGCCATCTGTATAAGTCAGGAATATAGTGCACGAGTGCGTACGCAGACACACGTGCATTGTCTATTCCCTCATTCTTATAGTCCGACGGCAATCCGACACGACCGGAGAGAGACCAGGCGCAGGATCATCAGGTTTTACGTGTTTTCTGAGGCACGGCATCGCCAACTTCCTGATTCCGAGACGTTAGTGAGAATTTATTGTCAGAAAACCCAGTGTCTGACATCGCACCGACTCATGATTCGAAACCGGGACCACATGAAAAGTAGTCGCACTACGACCACTAGACCAATGGGGTAGTCTGTTAAAATAGAATGAAGTTGAACTGATCTATGGTGATGTAGTTAACTGTATACGAGAAAGGTGTGAACTGCAAAACTCTCAAGAAGTACTCAAGAAGTATTTTTACTATCTAACTTTCCCTACACTACCGATTAAAATCAAAATTATTTCGTAAAAATTTTGTAGTACCGTACCTGCCTTCGACACCTGTTCCAGAAGGGTACCAAAAGGCGCTATTTGGTGGATATTGGGGTAAGTAGACTCGCATCGCCTTTTCAAAATTACCCCATGTTGTTGGATTTTCGTACGTGCTGCAGTTGTATACCCGTACTTCTTTTGACCTGTGAGTTGATTTATTAAATAATGTCATTATCATTATTATTTTTATAACTGTTATATACTCGTATTGTGCCAGTGTTTACTACTAACACACATGATGACAAGTAATGTTGTAGCCGAAGGGATAGAGAGTCTGAATAGAATGAATACCAGCGTAAAATAACAGGTTGTGCTGATGTGTTTCATACGGCGAGTGTTTTTTTTTATAGAATAAGGGTGACAAGCGAGCACGCTGTCCACCTGGTGGTAAGAATTTTAACATTTTTGTGGCAAATAAATACTTTTTATTTATTTAAAAGAAATCTAACGTTATCACCGCATGGGCTCTTGAGCACCAGAAGAAGAAACTTACTTGTCAAGAGCCGTCTCCCAAGCGGCAGCGATCAGCGTGTCGATGGCGATGTCAACAGGCAGCATGTCGGCTCTTGCTGATTCCTTCACGGAGAACACGTGAAGCAAACCTTTCCCTGCAGCGGCTATGATACCACTTGGACCGTTTAAGTTCTCTATCCAACCTGGGAACGGGTGCTGATACGAAGAAACGACTGGCAACAAAAAAATTATGCATGTAGGTATATGTCAAAAAAGGAAGCATGTAGGGTTCATACTTTTACAGGTGAGGAATCCACTCACTTTTTAGAGTCGGTGAGCGTCACTGTAAAACCAAACTAAAATTTAAGACCAAAAATAAAACTATCCACAGTTACATCAAAATTACATATCGTGAACACTGGCCCCTATGCAATGTCAATAAAAATATATAATAAAATACCAGAATATAGCAGAACCATTAAAAGCCTATAAAAGTTCAAAAAGGAAGTAAATACATATTTAACGAAAAAGTGTTCTTCTTCTTCTTTCTTTTGTGGCGGTTTGATAAAATTCGCCAATGACGTATTGAGTAGAAAATGAAAGCTTATGGGTTTAATTAAAATAAGAGTCTGTGATAATACAAGGATTCAGTTCTCCTCCGAGAATTTTGACAAATCTATTTGTTGAATTACCTAGAACAAATATGACAAACACAGGTGTTAGACTCTTACCCGTATGTTAAAAGTGACAAGGATTTAAAGTTTCGTATTATTAGTATTAATAAAATCACATAAAGTATACACAAAAGGAGTACTGGTATATGTTAAAAGAGAATTAAAATCATAAAGGGAGGAGGATAATTTGGGACAGTTGAAATGGTTCAAAAATATGGTTTGTGGAACCTTCATCTAAGCCATATTCACACAATGAGCTATCCCTTACTCAGATTTTTGCCAGATGTGCATGTGTACAAGTGTGTCCAATTCTTAATCTACAAATGATTGAAGTTGCATGTTTATTTGCCTTGTTAAATTTAAAGAACCAAGGCTTGGGAGGAATAACCTCTTGGATGGCAGCATAGTGCTTACCTTTAACATTTTTGGAAACTTCCCATAATTTATTCCAATTTTCATTCAGTTTCCTTTTTAGCTAGCAAAATTAGGTCATGTGAGTAAATTAAATTTTGTAGAATGCCATTAGCAATTGCATTTTTAGCGAGTACATCAGCTGTTTCGTTACCTGGATACCACTGTGGCCTGGATTCCAGGCCACTGAAACATGGATTCCTTTAAGATGGCATCTGAATAGGGTATTTTTTATTTTAGGAATTAGTGGAAATTTATGTTTGTTATGGAATTTATTGGATAAAATAGCTAACAAACAACTTTTTGAATCTGTGAAAATAACTGTTTTATTAAGATTATGTGACTCTACATATAACAAAGCTTCACTGATTGCAGTTGCTTCACCGGTAAAAGTGGAGGATAGTGAGGGGCATTTAAAGTTAAGAATGATTTTGAACTTAGGAATCCAAACAGCAGCTCCAATATAGTCTTCATCAGACTGTTTTGAAGCGTCTGTGTACATGACAAGCCAATCTTTAAAGGTGTTTTCTATAATTTCTTTTAATTTCAAATTTGCCATTGGAGAATCCTTTTCCATACCTAGATCTAGATGAATGTCGGGTTGGTAAACAATAGCCTCGTAAGAAACATCAAAGAGTGGATTTATTTTACATTGAAAGATTGGGTAAGGAAGCTGAAGAAAAATGACAAAACTTTTAAACAAGCAGGGAGAGTCCTTATGGGTCCAGTATCGGTCAGATGAGATATACTCTGAAAGAAGGTGCAATTCAGGAATTAGGGGATGATCTGAAAGCTGGCAGATCTTAAATAAGAATCTGTCTGAAAGGTATTGCATTCTTAATCTTAAAGGAGGATCTACGCACTCAACCTGAACAACATTTATTGGTGAGGATTTCATTGCCCCTGTAATAATGCGAAGACATTTCGATTGAATTTTGTCCATTACTTTCAGGGATGATTTATTGCAAGGCTCCAACAGAAAACATCCATAGTCAAGGTGGCTTCGTATTAAAGCATTGTACAGTAATTTCTGAGAAAAAGGATGGGACCCCCACCAAACACCTGACAAAGACCGAAGAATATTTATGTTTTTTTTTTGCATTTTTGTGTTGTATATTCAATGTATGGACCGAAGGCTAATTTCGAATCAAGGATAACTCCCAAAAATTTAACATTGCCTCTAACTGGATTAGATATCTTATCATATACAACAGATATATCGAGAACTCGCCTTTGGCGGGAAAAGATCACCACACTACTCTTGGCCACAGATAAAGAGAGGCCATGATTATTTAACCATTCTTGTAAATAATCCATGGATGAGTTTAGACGGGAACATGCCACTGTGAAGTTGTTTAAGGAGATGTATAGAGCTAAATCGTCTGCATATTGAAGAACATTACAAAAAGAATTTACTGAAAGTTCTAAATCGTAAGTATATATAGAATAAAGGAGAGGACTAAGAACTGAGCCTTGTGGAAGTCCTTTCCATATAGTTTTTGGGGGGAAGCAGGAGATTTTTAACATTTATAGATATTGATCTAGAAGAGAGAAAGTTAGAGACGTAATTGACTATCCTCACTGGAATGCTCAGATTAAGCATTTTCTGCCTGAGCACAGGAAGAAGCACATTATCATATGCAGAAGAAATATCCAAGAAAACTCCTATGAGAAATTTATGTTTTGAAAAAGCAATATGAATATCTGTGACCAAAGTACTTAGGCTATCCATGGTACTTAAACCTTTTCGGAAACCGAATTGGCTTTTAGGTAAGAGATTATTCCTTTCCAAAAACCACTTCAAGCGATTTTTTTGTTAAATGTTCCAAGATTTTTGCCAAAGTACAAGAAAGGGCAATAGGTCGGTAACTGGAAGGGTCATTGCTAGACTTACCTGGTTTGAGAATGGACAAAATAATTTGGGTTTTCCATTCAGCAGGAGGATCACCAGTAATATAAATAAAATTTAAAATGGATAGTAAGACAGTTTTAGTGTTCTCACTACTATTAATTATTAACGAATAAGGAATCCTATCAATACCTGGTGAGGAGTCTTTAAGGCTATTGAGTACAGTAAACAATTCCTGAGAAGAAAAGGGGGGAATCAAATTTATCATTTGTTTTTAAAAAAGCAGAATTAAAAACTAGGCATTCATCATAAGATGGGACTGTTTGTGGTGCAAGTTTATTAGAGAATTCATCTATCCACGGGAAAGGATCATTAGAAATTATATTTTCACTAGAAACTGCACAGCGATATTTTTTAACATTTCTCCAGACCAAAGATGGGGGGAGTCCTAGGTGACAGTGACTCACAGAATTTAAACCAACCAGTTCGCTTTTTATCTGACAGTAATTTTAAGGTTTCTGCAACAATTTTTTTATAAGAGATATAATTCTCTGCAGTCATAGAACGGGAGTATATTAATTCAGCCTCTTTTCTTCTCCTACAAGCTGCTGAACAATCTTGGTCCCACCAAGGAGGGGAAGGATAATTATTTTTGAAAGGCTTTTTTAAGGGGATTGACTTATTAGCAGCAGAAATAATTGCATTTCTGAACTCTATATATACAGGAGCAATATTATTGTTAATTGGGGGAAGAGTTGAAACCTCTTGTTCCAAAACTGTAGAATATAATTGCCATTTAGCTTTGGATAGATTATACTTTAGTCTTGGGCAAAATGTAAAATTTATTCTAGGTGAAGTAGGAGGAGTGATGAATATAGGAAAATGGTCACTGCCATAGCTAGAAGGTAATATTTGCCACAAAAGAAGGGAAGCAATATCTAGGGAGCAGACAGTTAGGTCAACGGCACTTCTAACATTTTGTAATGGGGATACTCGACGGGTAGGAGACCCGTCATTTAGAATACAGAGATTAAAATTATCAATAAGATCTAAAAATAAGGGAGCCAATGAATCACACAGATGGGAGCCCCAAACAGTATGATGCATATTAAAATCTCCCAAAATAACCATAGGAGGTGACAGAGAAGAAATAAGTGTTGCAAATTCTGTTAAAACATTTACATCAGGATTAGGAATGTAAACAGAGAGAATAGAGACATCAAGGGCCTTAATAGCAACAGCATTTACTGCTGGACTATGAGAAGGGAGAGGAATTTGTGAAAATGTTACTGTTCTTGAAATTAAAATAGAGGTGCCAGCACGACCATCACTCCTATCATCCCGGAGGCATGCGTAGCCTGAAACCCTAAAATGAGACTCAGGCCTAAGCCATGTCTCCTGGATGGCAAGAATGAAGGGATGAAGTTTATTAATGAGGTAAATGAGTTAATTTTTTTATTTCTAATGCTCCGACAATTCCATTGAAGAATTGGCGGGACTGCGAATGTTACGGGCTAAGGAGGAAAGCTGAGTAAGTTTTTGGTGTAAGCTAAGAGGAAGTTCCGTGTCACTAAAACGGGAGATCATGTTAATTAGAATTGATATCATAAGTTCGCAGAAATTATCATTACTAGAGGAGTTGTTGTCATTTCCCAGTAGAGCACACTCATTAGGAAGGGAAGAATTAGGATTCTCAACAATTGCCTGATGGGCTGCCATATCATATCCAGAATTTAATGATTGGCTGCAGGTACGTTGAGGGATAAATATTGTTTTTTTATATGATGCAGTTTGTGAGAGCTAAGCCGAAGGGGTTGAAAGACTGTCAGTTAAAGTATAAGGGGTCTGTTGAGAACAATTACGAGGCTGGATTCTTGTTGTATCAGCAAAGGATCTTTTTGTCTGAGGGAATCTAGCTGAAGCTTCTAAATATGAAATATTTTCTTGTGACATAACAAGTTTAATAGATTTTTGCCTTAGATGTTCAGGGCACGTAGGGTCTTTTGCGTTGTGGGGACCAGAGCAGAATAGGCAAGTAGGAGTTAGTCGAGTACAAAGTAAACCTTCATGATTCTGTGCATATACAAAGCAGCGAGGGGATGATCGGCACTGGGAAGTAACATGGCTAAATCTACAACATTTATGACACTGAATTAGTGGCAAAACATATTTTTCCACTGGCATTGAGGTGTAAAAACAGTAAATATGGGCAGGAAGTGTTTGTCCAGAAAAAGTTAGAACAACCGTCTGAGTTGGAACCCATGAAACGCTATTGCTGTCACTCACTGATCATCTATTAAGTCGCCGTGCTTTAATTATAGAACCGTAGCCAGAGGAAATTTCTATAGCTGCTATTAATTCTTCTAGTGTCCACTCTATGGGAACTTGTCTAACTAGCCCCATACGAGTGACACTATATGAGGGGATGGTTGCCTCATATTTAGAAATTTGGAGAGCTGGGCGATCGATAAAGTCGTTTGCATCCGCAACTGTTTTAAACTCCACTGATATTCTATTTCGTCCAACTTTTTTGACTCCATCATGGACTATATTTTTAATATTTTTATGATACAGAAAGTGACCGAATTTAATTGGTTTAAGAGTTACTCCAGACAGCTGATCATTTGAGATTTTACTTACGTGAACTAGAAAAGGAGCGGCATCATCTTGAGAGTACTTAACTTTTTTATTAATAAAATCAGGATGGGTATATGAGGATTGTATTGAAGGAAACTGTTGATTTGAATCAGTAATAACTACTTTTTGTGGGTGGGCATACTCGATACTTACTTGGGCACGTTTACGGTTAATTAGTTCTACATTATCAATGTTAAAGGGTAAGGAAAAGGAATCATTGCAAACCCTTCCGGGATCCGGAGGTTCGTCCTCCATTATATTACTACAACAAAAAATTACATAAAAACGGCACAACTACAAACACTTACTAATTTACAGATGTTAAAACCTCCACCAAGACAGAAAAATTTACTATAGTAAATCAACAACACTTAATAAAACAATAAATTTTAAGCAAAAAAGCACGACACTTGTATCTCTCACTTCCTCCGAAAACCCCAACTTTATTTTTTTCTTTTAAATATAATATGTCACAGCTACTACTGTTCTTCCACCCAAAGAATATAATAATCCGAAAAAGTGTTATTACTCGTTGCAGGAGTTTTTTAATGATTATGTAGGAAATATGAATATATAATATAGTATGATCTCGTTAATATTTAAGTTAATTTAATTGCCAATATTTGCAGTGCCCTTGCAGGGTTCTTATTTAGAACTATTTTTATAATTAAGATCATATGTATACAACAAGAATAGCAAATTGAATTGAATAATAAATTGAATTGAATTGAGTTGAACATTTGCTTGTAAAATTTTATAGATTTATTCAAAGAAAACTTTCCAGTTTTAGCTAATCTAAACTAAAGAACTTCTACTTTAACTTTCATATTTTGCTTGAAAGATGATTTGAGTTTCTTCAATGCAAGAGTGAATATAGACTTTTGTTACTCTAAGGCACTGCGATTTATTTTATCTAGGGCTTCATCTCAGCTACCACCAGGTTAGAAGTTCAGCACTGGCTTAAAATAAGTAAAAAGTCAAGTTGGTTGGTTAGCGTTCTATTGTTGGAATGTCGAAATATAAAATAACAGCTAAAATAATAGTGTTTTAAACGACTGCCCAAGAATGGGCGTAATGTTTTTCGAGATTATGTATGCATGTATGTATGTAAGAGTATATTTATTTTTTCGGCATGTTCTGTAACCTAAAAGGCGTGATGGATTTTAGCTTAAAGGTCATGGAGTGTAGAGATAAGGAGAACCGTCTCTGTATTAAAAAGTGCCCGTAAAGCGTTAAATAAGGGTGGCGCCACTGTAGCTAGAGGGTAAATTTCAAAGGACTTTTTATAACATTTTACTGCACAAACTTTCGCCATAATTCTTTTTTATAATAACTATTTTATTATTTTCAAAATCACTCTCAACATGTTTCACGGCGACTTTTTCTAGATTAAAAGTAAAGTAAAGTAAAGTTACAGCCTATATACATCCCACTGCTGGACACAGGCCTCCCCTCATTTCTGAGAGGGTTTAAGGGCAAGGAAGTGTCCGCCACGCTGCCCCAATGCATGTTGGCAAACTTCACGTGTCTTCGAAATATTTTTTTTTCTTATTCCTCAGACATGCAGGTTTCCTCACGATGTTTTCCTTCACCACCGAGCACGTCGTAAATCAACACTTAAAATTGCAAATAACAATTTCATTGGTGCCGGTGGGATCGAACCCGGGTTACTCGCGTTCTGTTATATTTACAGCGGGCGTTAACCATCTGAGCTACCACGGCTCAGATTATATTTACTAAATTATTTTCGACAACGTGAGTAATTGAGGTTTTAAATACTGCAGTTTCAACAGCAGTTTAAACTACTCTAGTCACCACAAATATTAAATTCCTTAACTCAGCATACTTCACTCCGTCGATAACTGCTAAGTTAATTTCATAACCTCTAGCTACTCTAGCGCTGTTGTGGAGAGTTTTTGAACTGATTAAAACTACTTTTACGGATTTTATCGTGTTTTATTTATATTAATTTTAATACCCGACGTTTCGGGTGCTTTCCAGCACCCATGGTCACGGGGGACTGAGGTGACTGACGTCCCGATATCAAATTACACGAGTTCTAATTGATCTATCTAATTGATAAAAGAACACATAGCTGACGTGAAGCATCAACGTTCCGGGAAGTCTGCAGTTTGCGATCATATCTTAGATGGCCCCAACCATTACATCAGATTTGATAGACCACAAATCCTCGCGAAAGAACATCGATTCCTACCAAGGATGATACGTGAGGCTATTGAAATTAAAAAACATCTTAATTTCAATTTTTTTTTATTTTTTTTTATAGGATAGGGTGACAAACGAGCACACAGTCCACCTGATGGTAAGTGGTTGCTGCGGCCCATAGACATCTACATCTATCTTCCATTACAAATCAAAATGCAGATGCGTTGTCACCCGTGAGGACTGAGATGGAATGCCTTATTTCCAGTAAAAAGGGTCTCCGGTTCTCAACACTCACCATACGAAATACAGCAGCATTAAGCTACTATTTCACGCTGGTGTTCTGTGAGAGCGTGGTCCTTCCCCCGGTCAAGCCGACCCATTCGTGCTACAACTATACTACTAATATAATTGCAGCATGGCTCTACCACGTAAGAAATTCAATAGAGAAGGAGGCTGGGTACTACCACCTGCTTGGGATCCTATAATTAATAAAATTAAAACTAAACCCAAGCATACCACTGCAAGACTTCAAAATACAGTTAGTTCATTCTGCGTAGATCGGACCAAAGATAATAATTAAAAAGCTGAAGGTACTCCGGGTTAACTTTGACATCGGGACGTCAGTCACCTCAGTCCCCCGTGACTATGGGTGTTAGAAAGCACCCTAAACGTCGGGTATTAAAATTAATATAAATAAAACGCGATAAAATCCGTAAAAGTAGTTATAATCAATGTATAGTGTTCGCGTAAATATAAGAAATCATTATGAGTTTTTGAACTATTATTTATTGCTTACAGATGGACGCATTTTCAACTATTCTCTCTACGTGAGACGGTACTCCTTACCTCTACACTCCATGTGAGGGGGTGTTGATAGTTTCGTCTTTCGTAATTGTGGAAGTGACATAGGGTATAAAATGTTTCGCTTTACAGTAAACTTTTTTACACAGTCGATAAAGTCAAACTATTTTAGTAACTGTTTTGACCTTTAAGGTTGTAAACTTTATAGGTTCGAGGGGAGTTTATGTTAATTACCTAGAGGCCCTGGACGTGTACATTAAAATTTTAGGTGAGTGTCTGCTTTATGAACTGTAATGATATATTTATTGCGAGTGAAATTTGAGGTGGTCAGAGCACAGCTGTGGGGCGTTTAAAAGCTGCCAATTCATTTTATTAAAGCGTAACTTACCGGGTCGTAACTACTTCTTCATTTGCTCTATCAACGATACATAGACCCTGAGCAGTCATACGATGATCAGACCTTTAAAAATGTTGATATTGGCCCCACTAGGGCTGTCTATTTACTGGTAACTCACCTATTGTTGGACGAAAGATGGCAATGGGGTATTTTTGATTGCCATGTTCCCGCACAGCCTCCTCAGCCATCGCCTTCGTGAATGTATAGGTGTTGGTTTTGGGAGAAATGTACCTAAAATTACAAATTTAGTTATTGCTTTACAATATGGACTTAGAGAGAGTATCCATAGTAGTGGCAGCGCATTAGAATTAACTACCTCGTGTCATGAAAAGGGTGTCGTAAGAAAAAGAGAGACCGAAACAGGCGAAGAGCAATATTTCTTATATAAACGTAATCTAAGAAAAAGCGCACTCAAGCATGGCAACTAAGGCAAATATCCCCCCATATGAAGCAATATATAGTGACGGCCTATTTTTGGTAGTAGACTTTTGATTAGCCGTAATAAAAGAAAACGAATGAATGAATTTAGTTAATATAATATATTCAGCACGTAAACAATTTTTTGACTGAGGCAGAAAAGTTTTTAACAAAAATTTATTCCGTGCTGGGTTTAAACCCGTGACCCCCAAACCCCCGAACCCTAGAGCGATTCAACCACATTTATTAATTTATTTAATCGGAAATCCCTTGGTTAACAAAAAACAGAGTGGCTAGAAAACAATTAAGCAATAGGAAACCATTTACGGGTTTTCGCAAATAGAATGTTTAGCCATTGCACTTCTGAGGAATTTTTAAATTTGTAATTCACAATTTCAGTGATGTCGGCAACAGGCATTGAACTTTGCTTGTATGAGTGCCGCTTTGCTTCTAAAATACGATACGTAGATATCGTTTTTGCGTCGCTTGTTTTGATATTAGTAAGAAGTAAGACTTCAGTATATGGTGTAGGTATTAAGAAATTCATCCGTCCCTTTCCTTTGTGGTCATCCTGTGGGTGTCGCAATAGACGACTCTGGGAAATGACATCTATTATTGTTTGGTAGGAAAAGAGTGACACGCGAGCATCCGCCTATAGGCATAGACAACTATCATAGATCAAGTATCAAAATGCAGATGCGTTTTCACCCCATATGATTAAGATGGAATCCCCCGTTTCCAGTAAAGAGGGTATCCGTTTCTCTACACTCACCAAGCGAAACACAGTAGCATTTAGCTACTATTTCTCGCTGATATTCTGAGAGTGTGGTCCTTCCATGAATAAGCTGACCCATTCATGCCATAGTTGATACTGCAGCCGTTAAACTACCTGCCAAGCGAAACTATAATAAGCTGATAAAGAAGCAGAATAGTAAGAAACAAGGACAACAACTCACTGCTGAGTAATATTAGGCAAAAGATCTGGCGGTACTACTTCCAGCAAGGCCAGCAGCTGTTGGATTGTAGTAGGTGGTTCATACACTTTCTCTTCGATATGTGTTCGTTCAGAGTTGCTGTAGCCCGTTGATACGTGCATGAACACCTGAGCAAATTGCCAAAGAATAAGATTACAAATTATTGGAATATAATAGTGTGATTTTTTGTAAGTATCTGTATTTAAATGTCATATAAATAATTTACTTTATTGTCATTTACCTTCACATCCGCGGCAAAGGAGAATAAAAATAATTTATTTAATTGTTATTTTTCTATACCGCGGTAACTTAACACGTAGGAAATTCTTAAAATAGCTTTTATTTAATTTTTTATTTTATAGGATAAGGGTGACAAACGAGCACACAGTCCACCCGACGGTAAGTGGATGCTGTGGCCCCTAGATAGACATCTAAATTTAACCTCGATTAAAAATCTAAATGCAAATGAGTTGTAACCCTTGAGGGCTAAGATGGAATGCCTCGATTCCAGTAAAACGGATCTCCGGTTCTCGAGTGAGTGTCACTATACGAAACACAGCAACATTGCTGTGTTTCGTATAGTGAGTGTAGAGCGGGGAAGGACCACGCTCTCACAGAATACCAGGTAAAGCTGCTACTTTACGCTGGTATTCTGTGAGACCGTGGTTCTTCCCCGGTTGAGCCGACCCATTTATGCTACAAAACCATAATAGCTGCAGCGTGGCTGTACCACGTAAAAAATTAACATAGCAGTTACATTGGTGGCAGTGTGGTTTGAATCCGGCGATGCGGAGTTACCGCAGCTCTTGTGAGTCGGTGTGTTCACAGTGGTATCGGAAAACAACGCAAGGAAACCTGCATGTATAAGAAATAAAAGTATTTCGATGACTTGATGTGTAGTTCATCGACACGCACTGGAGCAGCGCGGAGGACTAACCGTTTATGAAGTGTTCAAATGCAGCGATCATATCAAAATGAGAGTTCAGCCTGGGAGGCCTGTCCCCAATTGTCGAACGCAACATTATTTTGTTTTATTTATTTGTGTACATAAGTGTCATAAGTTTTTAAGTTCCAGTCTGCCACAGTAAGCACCTAGCTGTAGGAAATAGATCGCTTATTTTAGCGATAAGATAATGTGCTTAGCTTTCCTACGATATATCTATACGAAGCACAGCAGTATAGTAATGCTGCATTTCATGCTGGTATTTTTTTTTGCGAGTGTGTTCTTTTCCTGATCGAACCAATGCATTCGTGTGCAGCTGTAATACCACGTAAATAATTTTTACTCTTTGATTGTTTGTCGTCGCTCCATCGAGTAGGGGCTCGTCGATTAGTCGACTCTTTGCTTGTTTTACTCTTTGCATTTTTTCGAACTATGTGATGTTAGCACTTCAGTTTACTGTTTACTGATACTGTTGATTATACAGACCTCAATGTTAGGTAGTTTATCGCAGAGTTCCATCATACGCATCACTGAGAGAACGTTTTGTTGTACAGCCGTTGGCAGCGGCTCATCGAACTTCAATGTCGCCGCTGAATGGAACACAACCGACACCTGGATAGAGTTATTTAAAATTAGATAAAGTAAAAGTATTCTCTTGCTGTATAATTTGGAGAGCCATCAATAAATGCCATTATTGATGGCTCTCCCTATATAAGTAACGTGACAAGATTGGAGAAGAGTTGAAAGGCGCACAGCTTAATTTTAAGATGCAGTTGCTGTATCTATTACTTCAAGTCAAAGTGGCTGTGTGTGATACACCACGAGACTTCAAGTCTCAGAACTCATAAAGCGATATTTACCCGCGCCCGAAACGGTAGCAGGACCACGACACGCATAGATATAAGAAATGTACGTATATTGTTATAGTAAATTATTCCGCGAACCGCGAAGCGTTAATAATATGAATTCAATTAGAATCGCGCAGATCGTGATCGCCCAAGCGCTCTGCGGTCCGTGGTCCTCTCCGTGGGGAGAGGGGGCTGCGCGTGGCTGTGCTTTCTGTTTTATAGAATAAGGGTAACAGTCGAACACACAGCCACCTGATGGCAAGTGCATGCTGTGGCCCATAAACATTTATCCCTAATTAAGAATCAAAACGCAGATGTGCTATCACGCCTGAAGATTGAAATAGCATGCCTAGTTTCCAGTAAATGCCTGGCATAGCTTAGGACTCTATTAGTAGATGATTCATCACAAATAACGCGCATTCTGCCCGATTTGCGATCATATGCCGCTAAGTTTGGTGGCGCTGCCGCTTCAACGGTGGGCACAAATATACACCTGTAAACAGTGAAAGGCTGGTTAATTGCGCCTGTGCTCGTGAGAGGTAAGGTCGGTTTTACTTATATTAGTGTCACCAATAAGTCTCTTAGTACGCCTTTCCATTGTGTCCTAAGTTGCTACGTGGCATTATGCAGCACCAGTCCATATATGGCAGCAATACACCATGCAAAACGGGCCTAGCGTAATAGTGTAAGCAACTGCCCAGTGTGAAGTATTGTCGCACGCAAGGACACCTAACTTCTTTGGAGCTGCTTTGGCGATGGATTCAACGACCACTAGGCTCAAAGCTTAGGTTTGAGGAAACCTCAACTCCCAACAGAAAGAAACTCACCGATCGCCTTCACACCGGCGGTTCAATGACACATTTCGTGTTCATCATCATCATCATCATTACAGCCCTTCACAAGTCCACTGCTGAACATAGGCCTCCCCCAAGTAATGCCACAAAGCACGGTCCTGAGCCACCTGCATCCATCGACTTCCTGCATGTCTTACCAGGTCGTCACTCCATCTAGTGGGGGGTCGCCCTACACTACGCCTACCGGTACGAGGCTGCCACTCGAGAACCTTTCTTCCCCATCGGTTATCGGTTCTTCGAGCTATATGGCCGGCCCATTGCCACTTCAGCTTACTAATCCGTTGGGCTATGTCGGTCACTCTGGTTTTACTGCGGATATCCTCATTTCTGAGTCTATCACGCAGAGAAACTCCGAGCATAGCCCTCTCCATAGCTCGCTGAGCGACCTTAAGCGTCCTCATACGGCCAGCAGTGAAGGACCATTTCGTGTTAATCTTGTTTAAACTGCATGATTTATTGCCACCTAAATGACGAATTAGTGTTTCTGGATTCAAATCCTAACCAAAATTCTTCCGCGTACAACCTCTCTGTGGAATAGTTTACCACCAGCGATTTTTCCGGACCGATACGACCCGGGGACCTTCAAGAAAAGAGCTTACTCCTTTCTAAAGGGCCGGCAACGCACCTGCTATTCCCCTGGTGTTCCGGTTGATCATGGGCGGCGGTAGTCACTTAACATCAGGTGAGCCGCATGTTCGTTTGCCCCCTCTTTTATAAAAAAATATAGGGGCTCCATTTCCTAATGATCCCAGTGTCTACAATAGGTTCAGAGGGTCCTGCATATTTGATACTAAAAGATGATGGGGACGTCCGAACACTGTAGTAATGGGCGGCAGATGGAAACTAAAGCAAGAAATGGGCAGCAGTATTTTCCTGTTAAACGCTTAAATAATAAAGCTTTTCTTACGCTTTCGTTTCCTCGCCTCTGAGGAATAAGCAGAAATGGCTACCGATATAAAGGCTCTCTTAATAAATAAAACAAAATTGGCCGTGTAGTGGCGGTTGAGAATATCCACTACCCCATATCTTCCCGTGGGTGTCGTAAAAGGCGACAGAGGGAGACAGGCAGGAGATGGGCAGCAGCATCTTCCTGATAACAACTGTGACGTAATAAAAAACTGCGGTTGCCAACCCGCTCGCCAAGCGTGGCAACTATGGCAAATACCCCCCAATGAATAAATACACAAACAGACGGCCCCCAGTCCCCGGCGGCCCCGCTATTCCTGGCTACGGTGGCGACCATGGTAACGGCGGGGCAGGGGGTGCTAAGAATCTCCGGTGGAGGTTCGGTTGCCACCTACGACGACTCGACCTGGCAACATATAACGCACGCACCCTGAGGACTGACGAGAAGATACTAGAGCTGGAAGAAGAGGTAGACAAGTTGCGCTGGCATATTATTGGATTATCCGAGGTCCGAAGAGAGGGGGAGGACACGGCAATCCTCGAGTCCGGCAACTTGTTCTATCACCGGGAGGGCGACCACCTGTCCCAAGGAGGTGTCGGATTTATCGTCCACAAGTCTCTCGTCAACAACGTTGTAAAGATTGGGAGTGTGTCGACGAGGGTCGCGTACCTGATACTCAGAATCACCAATCGGTATTCGCTGAAGGTCATTCAGGTTTACGCACCAACCTCGGCACATCCCGATGAGGAGGTGGAGGAAATGTATGAGGATATTTCCAGAGCCATACATTCCTCCAAAACCCACTACACGGTGTTGATGGGAGACTTCAACGCAAAACTAGGCACAAGAGAAAGCGGTGAGCTGAAGGTAGGGAAATTTGGAGTAGGGCAACGGAACCGAAGGGGCCAGCAGCTGGCCGACTTTATGGAGAAAGAGGGACTCTTTATGATGAACTCTTTCTTCCAGAAGCGGCCCCACAGGAAGTGGACCTGGTCGAGCCCCGACGGTTCGACAAAAAATGAGATTGACTTCATTATGACGACCAGACGCCAACTGTTCAGTGATGTCTCAGTGATCGCAAGGGTGAAAACTGGCAGCGATCACCGAATGGTTAGAGGCACACTGAACCTAAACGTTAAGTTGGAGAGGTCTCGTCTAATGAAGTCAACGCTCCGTCCCCCCTCGTGCTCTAATCCAGAATCCCGAAACCTTTCAGCTCGAGTTACGTAACCGCTTCCAGTGCCTAGAAGATTGCAATGCAGTGGACGATATGAACGACAAGCTCGTGGAAACTGTCCATGCGGTCGGAGCTAAGTTCTGCAAGACCCGCCGCAGAAGAACACAAAAACTCTCCGATCACACTCTTAATCTCATGGCTGTTAGACGGGAGATGAGGCTGCAATCGTCAACAGATTTGACAGCATACAGGCAACTGAACAGACAGATCTCCAAATGCATGCGGCGAGACTTACGCAACTTTAATACTTCTCGTATTAAAGAAGCGATCGAGCGGAACCAGGGCTCCAAAGTCTTTGCCAGAGATCTGTCTGCCAGAAAGAGCCAACTGTCAAAGCTGAAGAATGAGTGTGGCAGCATCGTTTCCGGGACACCTGAGATTTTGAGTGAGATTGAGAGGTTCTATGGGCAGCTGTACACATCATCGTTGGAGCCACACGTAAGTGTGAGTAACGATCCAAGAGCAAGTCTTATCCGACACTATTCCGATGATATCCCGGACGTCAGTCTGAGCGAGATTAGAATGGCTCTCCACCACCTTAAAAACGGCAAGGCCCCGGGCGAGGATGGAATTACAGCGGAGCTTCTGAAAGCGGGTGGAAAACCGGTACTTGAAGTCCTTCGGAAGCTCTTCAATTCCGTCCTCCATGGTGGCACTACTCCGGAGGCGTGGAGCAGAAGCGCGGTGGTTTTGTTCTTTAAGAAAGGCGACAACGCTCTCTTGAAGAACTACAGACCGATTTCCCTTCTGAGCCGCGTCTACATGCTATTTTCGAGAGTCATTACGAATCGTCTCGCACGCAGACTCGACGACTTCCAGCCTCCCGAACAAGCCGGTTTCCGAAAAGGCTTCAGTACCATAGACCACATACATACCCTGCGGCAGATTGTACAGAAGACCGAAGAGTACAATCTGCCACTTTGCCTGGCATATGTGGACTATGAGAAAGCCTTTGATTCCGTCGAAATTTGGGCGGTGCTACAGTCCCTTCAGCGGTGCCAAGTTGACTGTCGGTACATCGAAGTGCTGAAGTGTTTGTACAGTAGGGCTACGATGGCTATCCGAGTACAGAACCAGAGTTCGAAACCTATCCAACTGCAGAGAGGTGTAAGACAGGGTGATGTTATATCCCCGAAACTCTTCACCGCTGCGTTGGAAGACGTTTTCAAGCTACTGGACTGGAAAGGATACGGTATTAACATCAATGGCGAGTACATCACTCACCTTCGATTTGCCGACGATATAGTCATTATGGCAGAATCGCTGGAGGACTTAAGCATTATGCTCAATGACCTCAATAGTGCCTCCCAACGGATAGGTCTTAAGATGAACATGGACAAAACAAAGATCATGTTTAATGTCCATGTCACACCTATGCCGGTAGTTGTTGGGAGCACTATGCTCGAAGTTGTTGACGAGTACGTTTACCTGGGACAAATAGTCCGACTAGGTAAGTCCAACTTCGACCGAGAGGTCAATCGACGGATTCAACTCGGCTGGGCAGCGTTCGGGAAATTACGACATATCTTTTCGTCAGGTATACCTCAATCTCTAAAAACTAGATTGTACAACCAGTGCGTGTTGCCAGTGATGACTTACGGATCTGAGACGTGGTCCTTCACTGCTGGCCGAATGAGGACGCTTAAGGTCGCTCAACGAGCTATGGAGAGGGCTATGCTTGGAGTTTCTCTGCGTGATAGACTCAGAAATGAGGATATCCGCAGTAAAACCAGAGTGATCGACATAGCCCAACGGATTAGTAAGCT